TTATGATTGTAACTGTTTAGCTATTTGGCATGCTTGGAAAAAAAAAAGGGGGAATGTGGGGGAACTGCAGTCATATCATCAGATCGAGAAAACAAAAGTCTTAAGATGTCAAATCAACATAGTCATCCAGTAAAACCATACAACTTGGATGTTCCATTCCTTCGACAACACATTACAGAAAAGGCTTTAATAAAAACTGTAAATTCATATGTGCCTCGTGGTATATACATGGAATCGATTGTGAAGTTGGTATTCATATTTATCTTTGTCTAAAAAATAAAACAAATATTAGTAATTTTATATTAGGTTTTATGATTAACAATTTAGGTAAGGTTATGTACTACCTTTCTGATATGTTTGAATCTTATTTTTTTACTCAATAGTTTTCCAGAAGCTGCAAATAATTATACCTTCGTTCAGTGTGCAGAAAGAATGAGGCGATTGCGACAAGGAATGTTCCCAGCAACACCTCAAAATATTTTAGAGTTCCACAATTTGCTTAGCAATGATGAAAACCAAATGTTTACACTAACATTACAAAAATTACAGTAAAATACAATTTGATTACAAAATTAAATTGAATAAATTAAATCTATTTAATAATAACCTATGCATAGATTTTATCAAGGCCCATTGGTTGTGAATGGAGTTATTAAAGGTGTCCTGTTTTGCAACATAGCTCATATACAGAAAATCAAACAAAATTTAAGAAATGTATGTAAACGCAATATAAATTACTTTGTGTACAATTCTGTCTATCATTTTTAGGTCCGTGTAGCGGGTTGTGACGGGACATTCAAAACTGTACCAAAATTTTTGGATAATGATGCTTATCAGATATTTTCATTCCATATCCTGTTCAAAAACGTTGTAAGTTTGTTAATATTTATTCAATTATTATACAATAATCCAGTTTAATAATATACATACTATTTTTGTTGTACAGAGCTTCCCACTAGTTCATGCTATCCTCACAGGCAAAACACAGGATATTTACATACAACTTCTGAGGTACGTCAGAAGTGTGTTACCATTGAATTATGCCGATTTAATCATAATAACAGATTATGAGTATGGGCTAATTAATGCTGCAAAAATAGTATTTCCGGAGAGCAAAACCCAAGGATGTTATTTTCATTTTTGCCAGGTAAATAGTAGCTTTGAGAGATTGGTATTCACCCTGGTACATATTTTTACATAACTTATAATATTATATTTTATAATGATCAATACAAATTAATTTTAACTTACAGATGATGAATAGCTTAAATGAATTTTGGCAGTACGCCAGTACTAGAATACCTAGTAGGATATTATAATTTAGACGTAAATTTTTAATTTTAATTATTTTATATTTTGATTTGATATTTTGTTAAACTAACCCTAATCTTAAGGTTATCTATATATTTTGTTTGACAAAGACACAGAATCAATTTTAAATGTGATTACTACTGTTAATGTTTATTTTACTACCCAGAAACTTGATTTATATATTTTTGTTCAAATAATTTATTTGGTTAGGTTAATTATGTAATATGCACCTAAATATAAGCAAGGCTGGGCACTAACGAGTTAAAAAGTTTTATTTTATTGTCATCTTAAGTTATTATTTTTATATTATAATATTTGTAGGTAATTAAAAATATTCTAACAATTAATTTGGTAATTATAATTTAGTAGTTATCGACCATTAGGTAAATAAATACATAGTTTTATTTTCTAGTTAAATTGTAACTTCTACAAGTTGAAACCAAAAGAAAAGTACCAAACTAATTTTCAACTTAACTTATATTTTTCTATATAAACTTAACTTAACTTAACAATTTAAAAAAAATATTTTACTTACCAGCCTTGTTTATAAACAATAACAACATTCCTATTCATTGTATCTAGTGTAATATTAAATATTAATAACCACACCTTAAGTACTCAAACCTTTATTCAAAATGTATAAATTTCTTTATTTATAATTTTCAAACAAATATTAAATATTATATAATATATATTAAGTCTTAATATTTTTGTATGAATAATGAGTAATGACGAATACAATGAAAAATAATTAGTTTTTTCAAGAAAAATAAAATATAAAGGTACTTACTAATCAAAAAGTTTATAAGGAAAAAGAATGTAGCATTCCTACATAATATTATATAATTTTAATACTATTATGTTTTCAACATTAAACAACCATTTTTAATTACGTAACTCAAAAATCAAAATGTGTTATTGAAAAATGTCTAGAGTTAAATAAGCACCATTATGTAAACCTCATGTCTCGTATACACTTTATTACAATTGTAAATTAGATGAATTATAGTTTTTAAAATTTATATTTACAAAAACTTACAAAATTGTGTACCTCCTACTTCCTAGTGGCTACTGCATCAGTGATCGGCACATACGACTTTATTATTATTATAGATGACACAGGATAATACTTCTATGAGACGAGTAGCATTGATTAAAATATATATTAGGTATAATATACTGTATTTTACCAATAATAAAATATAAAATTACCTTATGTCTTAATAACTCAGTAACACACTGCACGACTACTGATCACTTTAATTATGATGTATGATTATGGTTTATGAATTTTTCATATTATCATATTATAATATTATATAATAATATAATCTGTGTTTACAGCTTACAATTTACATACATTGTATATTGTATAATATTATGATCTAAGGTTTACAGTAACACAATGCAGAATGCAGATTGCAGTTGTTCTATTAACAACTCGGATAAATTATATATATAATATATATAAGTATAACTTATCTTATATAAACAAATACTATTAGCTTATTATAATTTATATTAATCTATCATAGTATTTGCTATAAATAAATGAACAACAATCTGATAACCATAACATAAATATTAAATGTAGTTATTTTGTCATTTATTTTTAAATTTCAAACAAGTAGTGCTACCACCAAAAGAAACCATAATTATTTTCACATATTTTTTTTAAGTTTCGATGTTGGCAATAGATTCAACTCAACTATTTTTCGGTTAGACCTGTTATCAATTTTCGGACAACTGCCTACGACCCATGATAATAATTGATAAAAATTTTCTTGATAAATAGGTAGCTACTAGCCAGTAGGTACTAATAATTATTAACATTATTTTCGTATAGTTAAATAATTATAAACTATAAAATATAATAGCCGTTAAGTAGAAGCTTTTTACATATATATTTTGTTAACTTAAGCTAATAGTGATACCGACTACAGATGTATCTTTTCGATCATAGTCGACAATAAGCTGTCTCCTAGAGAATAAAAAAAATTAAATAAAAGTATTCAATAAAATAGTATTAAATAGTAAAAAAAAGTATTTAAAATACCATTCAAATACTTCAAAATAAAAAGTATTTAAAAAAGTATTCAATACCGAAAAAAGTATTTGAATACTTTTACTCAATTACTTTTACTCAAATACAACACTGGGAAAGTCTAGTATGAAATTATTACAGTCGATGAGCTCTGCAGGCGGTGTTGGTGGTACATATGTGAAATTCTTATTCTTGTACACTGCAGCCATGTTTCCAATTGAACCAACCATGTTAATAATTATTTTTGAGTCGCGCACGTAAGCGATGTGCCGGTGGTGGTCATAAGGGTTTGCGGGTTGCGGTTTCAGAACTATAGTTGCGGGTTGCTGGTTGCGGTTTCTGAATCCCCCTTTTTATACTACTTAAAAATGCTCTGATTTTCGAGTTCAGCATCTTTTTTGATGGAAAAGTGAATCTAGTTGGTGCTTTTGGGAGCACAAATTTCAAAATTACAAGTAGTTTTAGAAAGAAAAAAAATATTAAAACAATTTTCATTTTCAATTTTATAAAATATATATTATGGAGTACCTACTGGCTACTGTACCTATGTCCCATAACCTATTAATGATATTTTTCTTAAATTTTATGAATCTATATATTATTGATCATTATATTAAAACAAATATATTTAATTAATATTATAAATTAATCGCTGTATTAAAATACCGTATCAACAATAAATTTCCGGGGGGTTTCAACTCCTAACTTCCCTCCCACTCAAGCTAACATTAATTTTACTTAAAAATAACATACACACACATCATTGTGAAATTCTCCTCTCAAAATCTAAAATACTTTTAAATTATCATAATTCTTTCTTCATCGACGAATATAGTAAATATAGTAATATAGTAATAACGACTACAGGGTAGGTACAGGGTAGGTTATAAGACTTTTCCATATTATAGGGTTGCCCGAGTTTTTCGTAGGTAAACGATGGGAAATTAAAAAGACAAAATTACCGACATAATTTCTGTGTATGTAAAAAAACTATAAAAAGTTACAAATAATTAACAGGAAAAAATTGTATAACATTCTTATTATTTTTTATATAGTTCATGGACCGTAACAATTATAACAGTTGGACTTATCTTGTTATTGCACCGACGTCTTCAAATAGTGACCAGGGCCTCATGCGCAGTCCATGTGGCCGCCGTGGATGCGACTCCTGACAACGCCAGGCCCCAGCCACCTGGTACTGTCGCATGGGACCCGAGTACCGATGTTCGCTCAGTGTTGCTGCTCGGTTAGAAGGCAACATTACTGCGCCGTCGCACCATCGGATTATTATCACAGAATTCTGTGTTACTATCAACAACAACATTAATAACAATAAAATATTATCGTTAAACATAATAAATAGTAAATACTAGTAAATACACAGAATAAATTCATCATCATTTATCCCTTAGATTAATATGGTCTAAGATTCATCTGCTACCTTAGATCATATACGACGCATTAGATTATGATCTAAGTCCCGAAGTCCGCTGCGGACAACACTGACTAAGGCTAAGACCATAGACTTAACTTATTATTTATAGGTCTATGGCCAAGACTTACTATAAGTTGATCTTCGGTCGGAATTCGAACTGTACATTTTTTTTCAACTGTTTTCAACAAAACGCGACCTGTGTCCGCCGCCATGTCAACGTCGGACAACCAGAACGAGACCCAGTCCAGACTCTATTTCCTCAACGAACAGTTACAGAAAATGGTCCATGAGTTACCCAGGTAAATCGGTGACGATCGGTGGTTTGGTGTTCGCGATTGTCATCACTAAATAATTAACTTTCTTGTTCCAGAAAGTACCAGCAGCGCATACCCAACGAACTTCTGTGCGAACTCACCGAATGTCTGTTGGACAAAACGCTGTATTCAATCGTCAAGGAACTGACCGATATTCAGCACGTGACAGAGAAACAAATGTTTCAAAAACGGTTAGAAATGATCAATAAGCATTCCGGTAAGTAAGCGATTGTGTCAGAGGTATACAATTATGTGTACACCTTGGCAATCAGCCGCTACCAATTACCTACATAATTCTTAGTGAGCTTTTGTAAAATCAAAGCATATTGAACCACAGTTCTGTTTAAGTTGTCATACAAAAACTACTGAAGTCAGATATGGTTCAGCCGGGCAAGACCGAGATGAGGCTGAAACTTCAAGCAGAGCACAGAAAAAACTTGAGAGAATTTGATAAGAGGATAGTGACCGAACTTGACGAAAAGGTAGTTATTAAAATGTTGATTTCTAAATGTAATTAAACCTTGTTAAGACATAACCTAGATGAATATAAGCCTAATATAAGCCCACATGAAAAATACCGGGGGCGTTATTTGGTGTAAAATCGTGGGATACCAAGCATCTTGATTAAAATTTTTTTTATTAAATTACATGTAACGCAATGATATCTAGGAGCAGTCGGTGGATCAATAAGACTCATTCACATAATTAGGTTAAAATATATCATAAATATCACAATATTTTTCAAGGAACTGTTGGAAAGACACTTGGGGCCATTCCTACAATATCTGGTAAAATGTTGGTTAACACTAACCGACTGATAAAATATTTTGTTACCGGCAGAATTTGGCCGGGTAAGTGTCGGTTAACTTTAACCTGACATTGTAAGAACGGCCCTTAATTTTATTATCCACCTTCATTATATTTATTATAATCTCTTAATCAATTATTACTTAGTTTAATAGATAGGTATTAAAAGTGTTAACTAAGGTTGGGAAATTTAACCAATTTTTATGAAAAAGTTTAAATAAAAAAATCAATTTGTATTTTGTTACAAATTATTTCTAGCGTACCATTACTATTTATTTATAATCCTAATAAAATTAGTGGGATAGAAATTGCTACGCCTATGAACGATACACACAATGGATATGGTAGGACTTCTGGTTAGGTTAGATATAATAATTTTGCTGTGAAGAAATGAATATCATGAATCATGTGCACACACCCTAATACCCTTCAGAGAATTAATTTGTTTTCTTCAAATAATAACCACCAAATTTAATTAATTTTATCAACGTGTTACAAATCTTGAACTTCTATATCGTGAATAGTTGTTATACTTGATTAATTTATTTGCTTATAATAAACTTAATTGACATTTTAAGTATAATATTGATTAAATTATGTACTTATATATTTTCAGTAAAACTATTCTAAAAATGTCTCATAGAAAATTATGAAATATAATATTATTATTGTGTTGTATTTGAGTAACTGAACTATTATTTTATTGACAGCGACGAGAGCAACAGAATACATTGCACATGGCTGGTGTACCAGGATTTGATGTCACAGACGATGCTGGTCGTATTCAAGTACAGATACGTTTATGTGATTTCATCATAAGATTGAGCCTAATTGATAAAAAACCTGATGAAGTTTAAAAAATAAAAACAATATTGTACAGGAAAAAATGTAATTTGACTAAAAAGAAAAAATAATTGTCCTAAATTGTTGAATTATCCCACTTAATATGTATAAGTCCAAATTGTAATAAATTAACAATTAAGTAAAAAAAAAAAAAATAATAAAAAATGAATTAAAAGAAATAAGTAAAAATATAGTATTTCAAATGATTGATAGACAAAATAATTGTTTTTCATGTATACAATACATGTGTGCAGGTGTAATAAGTTCCGCAGTAAAAAAATAAAACTGAGTAAATTTATTTAAAGTATGTTTATCCTGTCAAAAAAAAAAACTGTTTAGGAATGAATAAATGTTTGTGTTCAAGTTAGCTTTTCAAATGCGTAAAAATTGATATTAAAAGAATGTATATCAAAGAAAACTTTCTTACTGAGAACAAAAATACAAATAATATAGAAAAAAATAATAATGAAAGAAATATTGAATGTTAAAATGTTAATCTTGTAATAACAAAAATACAGCCGAATCTGAAGAAGTTGCCTGAACTATTGTCTTCTGTTCTATTTTATTGGCTGTATCGATATCTGTTGGTATATAATAAATAACATCAGAATAATCCTTTTCTTCAAAACCGATACCCCAAGCCATCAATTTATCTGAAAAAAAAAATTATTTACTGATAAGTACTGAGAACAAAAATACTTGTATAATTAAGTTCAATTTAATATTCTTACTATTCTCAGTGACTACGAAACTGTTATCCGAACCACAAGTTGCAAGTTTAATCTGTGGTAATGACGATAACACTTTGGGAACTTTTTGGTTTTCTGCTATATCCATACCCAAACGGCCATCCTTATAATCACCCAATACATACACGGCACCTATATAATCATAATGAAAAAAGATACATTAATTATAATAACAATTTACCACATTCAGGCAGAAAAATAATTTGTTTTTTACTAGTCATGTGAAGTGTTTTACTTAAAAGTAATTGAGACTATGTCAGTCTAAACTCTAAAGCCCCGTCTAGACTAAGGATAAAATTGTAAGAAGCTCAGAAACATGTTTTTCGATATTTCAACACTTACAGCAATACCTTTTTTTTCATTTAACAGCCCAACTATTAAAAACACTAAAAATTACCTACCAAAAAATCTACAAATGTTAATCAAGTGCCCTTTAAAAAATGATTTTTATATTTTTAAATTAATAGAAGTTAATTAATTTAAAGTAAAATAACCACATAAGTATGGCACTAAATCAGTGGCGTGCTACATGAAATTTTAATAGGGGTGTCATCAACAATTTAACGCTATATGAAAGTAGTAATAAATATGTACTATCACTACTATATAATATTGGTAGGGGGTCACATTATCGATATAAATACATTTGGGGGTCAAAAAATGTGAACACCACTAGACCTACAACTTATATTAGTTTAATAATAGGTTATGCTACCTACTTTGAGCAATTAAGCTACAATGATAATAAGCTTACATAATAATGTAAAAATTGGTATCCATAACGAAGATAAGACAGAGACAACTTATGTTATGCTAAAATCTCTTAATTTATATTAAACTATTAACGTATAATAACAAAAAATAATATTATAAAATGATTAAAATTAATAATCAGAACAAAAGCATAAGTCTAACAGATTCTATTGAAAATTTAAATTTATAATTTTTGACAGTAAATATGATGTTAGAAGTTGGTTAATTAAAATATCAATGGATAAAAGCACAACAACACCCATCACTAAAATTATAAGTTAGTTTTATTGCAGACTAGAATTATCTACAAATTATTATTACTATATATTATTTATAAATAGACAAACCTTGTTCATCTAGTAAAGTAACATGCTGTGTTCCAGCTGATATAGATTTAATTTTGAGACGACTTAATGATTCAGATATTTGTGGAAAGTACACACATTTATCATCATTTTCAACACCTAATTGGCCATGAGCATTCAGACCAAAAGAGTAAATAGAAGAGTCTGATAAACGTAAAAATGTCGTGTCATAGTTAGCCCAGATATCATCAACTTTTTTACGTAAATTTAACAGTTGAGGATTCAACAGTAGTTCTGTAAAAAAAAAAACATATAGTTAAGACATAAAATATAAATATATATGATGACATAATGTAAAAAGCTGGGCAAATTAAATATTTTTTTCAACTTGTTAAAGTCAAGTTACATTAATATAAAAAGATACTAAGTAAGAATAAAAGTTAGTTTCTGAAATTTGTTTAAAATATAAATTTAAAACAGTTTTTCAAATGTAATATATTAATTAAATAAATTATTAAGTAAGTAGATAGGCAACTAACTTGAATTATTGCCGATGAATGAATAAATAAATTAAACAACTAGCCACTGATAATTTGATCAAATGTTTCAAATAGGTATGTAATAACGTTAATTTCTTGAAATATCAGTCATTAGAATATAGAAGTTTAACAAAATAAGAAATTTAAAAATTCAATAAATAAAAAAAAAGCTACAAAAATAACTAGTTACTTATTTTCAACAAGTTAGATTAGATTATTTTAGACATTAAATAGTCAAGTTACAAAGTTAATATGAATTTAAATAATTAGTGCCCAGCTGTGATACATAATATTATTTAAAATGTTTTTAATATTTTTATATATAATACTCAGTACTTACTCTTGCCAACGCGTGAATCTCTATTGGAATGCCTCTGGCATATTCTACCGAGCTGGCCTTCATCTCCACATCCCATAGTGTACACTTTGTTTTTAGACAACATGACTAGATGATTTATACCAGATGAAATTTTCTTTACATGGCTCATGATTAATTTAGGCTTCAATTGTTTTTCTCCGCTTGGCTGGAATCCCATGTCACCATTTTTGTCCTACACTCCATTGTGTTAAATTAATAAATATTCTGTTGTAAATTTAATGTATTTTATTTGGCTTACTCTAAATGTGCCCCAACTATACACATTTCCATTACTAAGAAGTATTGCAGAATGAGAACCTCCAGCAGATATACTATATATTTCTGCACCTTCTTCCTCAGGAATCTGTACAATTCCGGGTCTAGTTTCACTGTCTTCCACTGAAGTATCTCGGCCCAATGCACCTTCATCATTACATCCCCATGACATGAGCTTTAATGAGAAATAACTTGATTAATTTAACTCCAGTAGATACTAATTAATAGTCAATTACTTTTCCATCTTCAGTAACACCTAAAACATGCATACTTCCAGCGGCAATAAGTTTGAATTTGTAATTCTTCAATTCAGTAAGATTTGTAAGCTGTTCGCGGTCAGGGCCTAAACCAAATAATCCGGCTATCACTATATCTCGTCCTTTGATCATCATAATACCAGATGTTTCAATTCGGTTATCAACAGCTAGAAAAAAATACATTGTTAAGCCAAATAAACGTCACCAAATTTACAAATTTAGCTTACCAATTTTATCTGATATTTTTTCAGTCTTTATTCTCTTAACTTCAGTTGCTTGTTCTTCAAGCGATTTCCTTTTCGATCCTGAAATACATTTATACATTACTAAATTATTTTAAATACTAAAACCTTGTTCTAACTTTTTGAACTTGTAGGCTGTGGCTGGTTTTCAGATTCTTGTTTACGTTTAGTGCGAGCGTTGCCATTAGTTGCAACAATTTTTTTTGGATTGGTGCCTAACATACAAACATTATATTATAATACTATCCATTAAAGTTTATAATTATGAATAAAATTACTTACTTGTAGATGGTTTTTTCTCATCACCATTTGATTGATTATTTTGTTTTGATTTTACTTTAACCAGTTTATCATCAGAAACTTCAACTTCAACATTATTTTTCTGGCCTTTCCCTTTTTTTGTTTTACTGTAAACAAAGATTTTAAGAAATATTAAAAATTAAAACTTAATTAGTTACTACTCACCCATTGGTTTTTGATATTACGTCTGGTTCTGGAAGTTCATCTATACCAGTTAAACCATTTACTTCCTTTGGTTCTCTACAAAAATAATTTAAAATATTTTAAATCAAATAAGAACAAATCAATAATAGTAATGTTGTAGTTACATTATACAAGTAATAAATGTTTTCATTAAACAAATAAATTTTTGTAATTTTTATAATTGCTAGGTAAAAAAAATATTTTACCTTGACACAATAAACATGTGACACATAATATTAATGAAATAAGTAAAAATATATAAATATTTATTACTCAATGTGATAAGACACAGAAAAGTTTATGGGGACGAGTGGCCGATCGGACTACGGAGTCGGTTCCGACATGTACTGTTGCTGGTTCGAATCTCGACCACGTAGACTTCTATCTGGGCAAGCAACTGTCTAAAGAAAAAGGCCACCATTTCCCGACCGGGCATGGCAGAAACATACGGGTACCCCATGGCGATTTGAAATTCTACTAAACACAAGTATTTACCTACAAAAGTACCCTCCCCACAATTGAAAAAAAAAACCCCACCCAATGGCCTAAGTGTACCGTTTCAACCATTACCCCCCCACAATAGCTAAGACCATAGTGGCTTGGCTCTAGACCAATAAAAAAAAATAAAAAATTTTCATATAATAATCATTTAAGGGTCCTGGTTGCAATTTTTCAAATTTTCCGCAATTCTATAAAATTTGAAAATTAAATTTTATATTTTAGTTGCCACCTCAATTATAATACTTTTCCACTAATCTACTACCCAATACCTATTTAGGGGAGGTTGATAGGGTGTATTATATCGATCAAAACAAACTTTACAGGAAAAACTCACACACCTCGTAGATTGGTGCGATTTCCGTAACTTTTTTTTTGTTAGACAGAGGAATATTTTTTTACAGAGCGCATTGAACTTCGATTTTTGATTACATTGGTAAAAACAAAAAAGTTGAAAAAATGGATCAAGTTCAAACTTTTAATATAAGATTTAGAAAAATAATTTTGAAAATCCAAGTCCAATGTGCCCTGTAATAAGTCTTCATCTATCTAACAAAAAAAAATTACGTAAATCAGACCAATCTATGAAGCGTGAAGAGTAAAATAATTTGATATAGTTGTTTAAATGATACGCACTTATAATTTTCATTTAATTTATAAGAATAATAAATATATTATCGGAACAAATATCATGCAATATACGCTAGAAAAACCAATAAGAGAGAAAAAATATCTTTAAAATACATCCATGACAATGGACATACTTCTGGAGGAAATAGGTATCTATAAGACTGTTTTACGTAAGGGAAAAGATCTTAAATTCCAATAAATCACTGTCTATTTTTAATAAATAAATGTAAACAAGTACCTAAAAATAATTTACACTTTTAAGAAAACCATAATTTAAGATATACCTAAGCCCGACAATAAATAAAATAAATAATTAAATTAACAATAATAACTTGTTCAAAATAAGTATAATATTATTATACGCACTCTTTTATTGTAATATTAGGAACATCAGCAGGTTCAATAACAGTTTTTGTCGTGTTCTTGGCTACTGTTTTAGTTGGTCCCTTTTTTTTACCAGCCATTTTAACAGGAAAAATCTAAAAAATAAAAATTATACAACAATAAGTTTTAATAAATATTATTAGGTAATATTAGGTGGGTACACAAATTGTTTATTTTTAGTTACAGATGATTTCTTATGGTAAAAGCTAAAGCTAAAGTGGCGTGGCAAACTAACAGTTTTCCAGAGACCAGTTACAATTATCCCAAGTATTTATACATAATAATGTATTAATGTAATATAACAAGTTATATTTTAGATCGTTATTGACTACCTATTGAGAATATAATATTAAATTTACTAGGGGACCCACTGGCTACCACCCATCCCTCTATTTAAGAAAAATTACCGTTTGCCACGTCACTGTATAGCTATATAGTTTGACATGAACCTATGAATACAGGCCGTATCAAGTTATTACTATTTTTATATAAATAGATTACCTATATAAGAAATATGGTTTCTTAATTGTAAAATTGGATGTAAAATACTTTTAATGGTTAAGTTAGGTTAGCATTCATCATTGTGTAAAATAATTTTGTTTTCTGATTTACTAGGTATATTGGTGAGATTTCAAAAAGTTTATTTAATTCAAACTTCTTGTTTGGAAACCATTTTTACATGTAATCTACCTACCTATTACTAAATAGTAACAATTTATAATACAGTAATTACGATTCAGGCAGGTACCCTGCAGATACTTGTACAGGTATAAATTGTGTAAATCATGGCATATTATATATTTTCAGCTCAAAATAATCCACATTTTACATGTGTAATTATGCAGATTTTTTGGATAAGCTTAGTTTTAAATATGACAATGTGAAGAATAAAAACTTGTTCTCAAAAATCATACTACTTAACTAGATTGATTAGCTTTATTTTATTAGTTGGAATAAAAATATGTAATTTTGGCATGAAAAATATTTGGATACACATTTTAATATGTCCTATTCCTGTGCCAGGTAGATTACACGGAAAACTGATGCCACTGTTTAAATGAGTTTGTCCATAAATATTACGGAACATCAAAATGATCAAGAGCACGAATTATTCAACAGTGGCTAGAAGTTTTGATTAGATACATAATAACGTGTGCGCTTGTTTTACAGACACTACAAATTAGAAGATCTGAGTTTGAAAAATCAACAGAAATGGGGTGATTTTGTTTTTAGATACTTATGGATAAATTTTTTAGGCACCAGTTCCACGTTTTTTCATAGCGAAAGTCTGTCAACAAGTACCGGCTATTGCACACTGTTTTGCCGCCAAAACTGAACGAAACAATATTTTTACATAATATTTTAATACTCACTTACGAATCGACGGTGTGATCTATCAATGGTCCACGGGGTCAAGAAACGCTAATCTATGGTAGTCCTATGCTTATGACGTACAAATTATGATGCGGGTTCGGCGAGGGGCGAAGAAGAGGTAGGTAGGTACTTATAAGATTAAATTTTTTATATCAACCTCGAGAGTCGTTAAAAAAAGAGGTGCATAAGTCGTGAAAATAATCCTCGCCAGTACCGGAGGAATGTTTAGTGTTCACGCGTGTCACCGTCGCGGGAAAACGAAGAACGAAAAAAAATTTAATAACAACAATAATAATAATAAAAATAACGGTAATAGCAATAATAATGGTTAATAACTGACCAGAAAACGACTCACAGTGTGGTAGCAAGGACTTTTGTCCGTTAAGGCGATTTCAGTGGCCGACAGTAAAGTGAGGTGCGATTCGGATCTCGGAAATTAATATTTTTCGTGCGCAATCTCGGCAGCCGAACATGGACGATGCGCGAACACCCGTTGCACCTCCGCCCCACAACCGACGCCGGTAATTTTCAGGTGGGGATTTAGTAACGGAAAACCGTCGGCTACCGCGACACAGCAGCAGCAGCTGTTCCCGCGTCTTATCAACGTACGTCGTACATAAACCTCATACCACACGAACGGTTATTCGCAGGAAAAATTTTTTGTACGATCCATTTCATTATCAATATAATAAACCATGTTATCGGTTATGATTAATTCTTATCACTTATCAGTTATCACGGAAATTTCAACAATACAACACAAGCATTAGTCTCTGTTTTAGCATATGCATGAATAGAATATATAAATAAAATAAATAATGTTATTCATACATGAGCATTTATATGTATATACACATACATAGCAAGTAGTGCATTAATAGAAAGGTCTAATCGTTTGTATTAGATGGTCAGGACAAATATTAATAATTTTGGAATATAAGTATTTTAAATTTTTATTTTTTATACGATACACTTATATACATGCAGTCAAGAGTTGTTACAGTCTTTAAACAGGTATGTAATAACTAATAAATTAAATTGACATGAAAAAACACACATCATTGTAAAATTAATACAATCATCGCTCTACTTACTCAAAACATGAAGCGTGACGGTCAATAATTATAATATTACAATAAATTAAAATATAGGAGTTATATAAATAATATTATTATGTGCAGGTACCTGTAATTCACTTAATAGAATAATTAAAATTCCGTTCATCTTATGAAAAGACTTACTACATGTAGCAAATGAACATGACATATTATTGTCGCCTGTCGGTGATATTTATGTGACCTTTGACGTGTTTAATTAACAATGACTTAAGATTAAATGATTCATCACAATCATTACAGAAGTACACATTTTTTTCCAAAAGTTTGTGCTTTTTAAAACCCTCATGTTTTGTCCTTAAATGCTTATTTAAACCTGAAATGGACATAAACTCAGCTTGGCAAACCTCGCAGGAAAACATATTAAAAAACAATATGTTAATTTATAAAAACAATTATACGTCAAAATAAAACTAAAAATTTGGAAACTGCGGAAAATCTACTAGTCGGCAGTGACTGAATAAAGAAAGTTCACTGTGGTTGTGATGACACACGGAGTACACGATCTACTAAATTGACAATATTCCAATAATCCTGAAGTCGAAAAGCATAAAATATATTCGGTATAGTATAATAGTATTATAAATATACACGTTTATCCCCAATTCATTTTTGAGTGTCCAAATTTTACTTTTATGACCCAATATTATGATAAGATAAAATGCAATGAATTATTAATAGGTAAATAACATGGTGTCTATGGTGATGTTCCATGTGTCCACGTATGGCTAATTTTATTTAGTACATTGTATTTTTCCGATTCTATCTAATTCTGTCTAACACACCAGCGTTATACGATTTTAGTCGGTTTTTTTGCCAAAAATATAAACTGATCCGGGCTTGGTCGATTTGTTCTTCGAGGAATACTACTCTAGAAACTGTTTCCAAAAAGTTATTATTTAAAATATTATATTATATTATATTATTTTATATTATTTTATTTTATATTATTTTATTTTATTATATTTATTTTTATTTATTTGAATTTAAAAATACATAAATTTGAATTACGTTTGAATTTGAGGGAAATGCATGGGAATTTTTGTATTTCAGTGTTGGTTGGTACACATTATTTCCGTGATAAGTGATAAGAATTAATCATAACCGATAACGTGGTTTATTATATTGATAATGAAATGGATCGTACAAAAAATTTTTCCTGCGAATAACCGTTCGTCCCGAACTCCGCCTGTTGTAAAACATTTCGTAACCACAATATTCATCTCGTGTCCAGTCCTGTATATCTTAGTCCGTGCTGTCTGGTAAATTATATGGTACACTGTGATAACACACCTATTCCATCTATTCGGTGATAACGCCCCCATTCACGAGTTACGTACTCGTAAATCATAATACGTATTACGTACTACGTAGTCACGTGTGTAGACTAGTAGAGTGTAGACTTTAATAGAGATTAGAGAGTAGAGACCCCCGTCATATTAAACACACATTAAATTTAATTGATCTTGTTGGTTTAACACCGTCTCACGAGTCACGAATGCCGTTTGTTGATTTTATAAACGGTTAACACTACTGCGACGATGGACGACGCTTCCATCATCAGCTCGCTGACCAAGATCAAGGTTCACAGCCTCAAACGCAAAGCTCCGTCCTCCGTCGAGTCTAAACTTAGGCAAAAAAGGTTAAAATCTGATGACACGTGCAGTGAACTTTCCATGACAACTTCCGAGGCGTACGGTATCAACAAAGTCACAGACGATTTCGACTTAGATGATTATCAACCCCTCAACACATCAACTGAAAAACCTGTTGAGGTGTGTCTAAATTAATTATTTATGGTTTTTTACTTGCCTGATAATCGCGTTAACATGAATCTATAAGTAGGTAGTATAATATAGGTTAGGTATATGGACCGTGTTCCACAAGTTAATGAATCGTTTTACGATTCACTTAAATATTCCAAATTTAGTAGTGAACATTTTTTAATAATGCAAGGAAATATTCCTATGTAATTATATTTATAGACATTTTGATGCAGCTAAATCAAAAGTCAACCTAGTAGCTAATTATTAAACTTTATATTATCAGTTACTTGATAATTTAGTTCTTAGTACATAAATTACTATTTTATATTTTGTAAAAAATTGTCTGAAGTACCTATGATAATTACTATGGACTAAATACTACATAATAATAATATGTAATTACCTATTTCATATTAAATGTAAAATATAATTAAGGGTAGTAAATAAATTATATGTAATATTTAGTCTACTACCTCGTCTAGTACTCATCATAGATACTCTGGCAGTTTTGTACAACTTATAAAATGGCAATGAATTAATAAGTGTTAAGTACTATATACCTACATATATGATATAGGTAATAATTAATATTTAAATCATCATAGGATAGTCCTCATATTTTCTAAATCTTTCATCACTTATCATTAATACAATAAGTTTAATAACTCAAAAACTGCACATATATTTATATAGGTACCCAGATTTATATATATTTACATATATATTATTTAAACAATTACAAAAATATTATTTTCTTAACAATTGAGTCATATTATAATTTATACTATAGTTACATATTAATATGCTAAATTATATACTTTGTCTGGGTATATTTAAATATTCCAAAAATTAGAATTTTAACATATTAATATCTAAAGGACTAATAAATTACAATAATACTTGTTATCTTTTCTTGCAAAAAGTTGCTATAGTTGACTATCTTTACTAATTACATTTCTTTTTACAGTTTATTAGATTAGATACATCTCAATTGAATAGAAATAATGGAGTTTTATTTTCTGAAGATCTAAATGATGACTATGAAGTTTGGACATTGCAATGTCCTGATGATGTAAGTAAATATTAAACTTTTTACATTTTTCAAACTATTTTGTAACTTAATTATTAGGTATATATAAATTAAAATGTTGGAACAAACATTCGAAACATCTTTAAACTTATACTATTTCCATTTATTTTAAATTACAACTTGTACCTATATTGTTAATAAGTTATATTAAGTATTATCTATATAGCCAATGGAAACTATATCATAAAAAACCTTTCATATTCCAATCACTAGATCTAATATTCACAAAAATGATCCACTTATTAGGTCCATACCATAGTCAAACACTTATCAAGTAATAATATTAATTATTCAACGAGTTAAGAATTACCACTACATTAACTTAAATCTTGATGTGTCTATAATTATTAGTATTATGTTAGTGAAGTCCTGTGATTAATAAAAAAATACAATTTAATGCATTCATATATTATATTTTATTAATACAAATGTAATTTATTCTATTTTTAGTGTTTATAAGCTAATAACTGTTATTGGTGTTAATATATTACAGATCGATATTAACAATCTACGTTCACAATCAATCAGTTTCAATGAACTTAGAAAATTGGAAATTAAAAACACAATGTCTGATAAAGTTGATTTGATACCTTACAGAAGTCAAGAAGGAACAAATATTACTATCGTGACTCCTAGTGAAAGAACAAGCAATTTATCCTTGAGTAAGTAAAATATTAATTTGAAGAATTTGATTTAATAATAAGTTGTACTACCCTCTGTTATTATCACTGTAATATAAATTATGTTTTTATGCTAAATATCCGGCTGTACAAATAATTTTTTTTTATTTTATTAAATTTAAATAAAAACTAAATGAATATTCAACTATTTACAATATTCAATGTATGATTTTATTATATTTTTTAGATGTGGTTCCTTTAGCTGGAACATTAATTATGAGTAATCGAATTAAGAAAGAGAAATTAAGTAGCAATACCTTACTTCCAGTTGATACTATTGAAGATGCTACCAGAAGAAGATCAGAATTAATGTCAAAAATTACTAAAAGGCTATCAAATAAATATGATGTCAATGCACTTATGAACACAGGCGTAAAACAAGAGTTTAAGATGGAGAAAGAATCACCTAGAAAAGTTAAAAAGAATAAAAAAAAATTGATTAATAAATAATATAATAATATTATGTTTATTAAATGAATTGCGGTTTCATTACTTTTAAGTTCAAACTACTAATTTGCATTAGTTTGTTAAAAAAAACTATTAATTTATAATTTAATGTATACATGCTATATAAGTGAGTTAGTATTTATATTTGAAATGTATTAATTAAATTGTATATTGTTTATGCATGATTGGTTAAAAATAAAGTGATAAATAATATTTTATTTTTTAGAATTTAAAATTGAATTATTGTTATGGGATCGTTATTATTATTATTATTTCTCTTAATCTCTAAACTTATTTCAAATTTAAGAAAAATTTCTTTCCCCTTTCTAAATAATTTTTTTTTAAATTATAATTATTGACCAAGTATTATTATATAATATTAATAATTTAAATTGTATACCTACTTTTTCATTAAAAAATATGTGGGCTACATTAAAAATATGCACCTATGTAAGTTATATAAACAATGTCAGATTTAGGTGAATGGGCAAATCATTTAAATATCTAGGCTTCCATACAACCTAATGTTCTACATTTTAAACTAATTAGAATATCTTAATTTAATTTTTATATCTTCCTACTTTTTAATAATACTAATACGTATATAGAGGTTAAACAAATAAATTATACCTATTAAAAATATGACAATTACCAACAATCATTTATGTATCGATTGATGAGCAACCACATCATTTTTTTCTGACAGTAGCCTCACAACAAAGATCATAACTATTTCATTCTCTGCTTGCAGTATTTATTTAATATTTTTAAGCTTTTATACATTGACTTGTAACTTGTTTTGCATGTATTTTACACTGCTTATAATTATTTATTTTACACAATTATTTCACTGTTTGTAATTCATATAATATTAAATTGTTTATAATATTACAATGTAATATGGAAATACTTTGAAAGTCCTTAATCGATGCTGTTGTAATTATTTAGTTAATAATTAAATCAATAATGTTAAATATAATTTTAATTTTATGGAATACAATTATTTTTTACATAAAAATCAGAAATTAATTACATATTACTAAATGGATAATAGGTCACTTCAGTTTATAAATAGTATATTTATAATAATTTGGCGTGTAAAACAATAATTAAAGTCTACAAATATTCATTAATAAGGTGGTATTTTTAATTAGTTTTTATTAATAAATTATCAACAACTCTAAATTTTCAATTACATACATATTGTTTCTAATATATTCTATTAAATTGAGAATGATTAAATTGTGGATGTTACAGTCTATTGTTACGAAAATTAGCAAATTATTTTGAGTTAAGAATTTGTAAAAATTTTTCTTTTTAAATCTTAGATTTTAAAATGTAATACAAGATTCCTTATAAGATTATCTACCTTTGTCAAGAAATAAATTTCTATAAGAAAGTCAAATTAAATTTTTATGAGCGTTTGAAATTCAAATTTTTACAACATTGGATATTTACTCGATTTCTCATGTAGCGATTTCCTTATTTTGTTGTAATTCAAAAACGAATAACTGTAGATACATGCAAATTTCACTGAATGTTCATATTAGCATTTCCTATACACCCTATACACCGTACTGAAAATATTTTGACTCTTTTTGAGCTGTTTAAGGACATTTTCAGTTTCCAATTTTTTTAGTTTTTTTTCTATAAATATCAATTAAGTTTTATCTGTTGGGCCAAAAAGTGTAAAAATTTAATACAAGACTCCTGATATATTGTTACAATATCAGTTGAAAAACATTGAAAATACATAGGCACAATTTTTTTTTATAAGCATTTAAAGATCGAATTTTGACAAAATGTATCAAATTTAAAATTTAATAATTATATTGTAGATAAAAATTTATAAAATTGTCGACTTTTATATCCAGGGATTAAAAATTTAAAACAAGATTCCACGTAAGTAGTTAATTCTGTTACCAAAAAATTTAAAAAATACATAAGCGCAGTTTATTTTTATAGTAATTTTAAGTTCAAATTTTTACGAAATTACATAAAAAACCTAGAATAACTATTTTAGTTATTTTGTTGTGACTGTATAATATTATTCGTGGGTACTTGAAACTTCTAAAGTACACTATTATATATCTATGATAGTATCAGGGTTTGTCCTAACCTAATGGAAATTGTGATGTGATTAATTTGGAATTTATTATAGGTCAATTTTTTTTTAATACCATAGATAAGTATATAATATGTCTTATACGTAGACTGACAACCGTCTCAGACAAATCTCTCAGAATCCTTTTTTTATACAATGATATTACATCATTGAATTCAAATTTAATATCCATTATACAGTGACCAAGTTGTAACCTACTGTACAGCAGAGCACCTTTTTTGTGTTTCCTTTTCAAAAATGTAAATTTTATTATAATAGGTTATAATATCATATTCGTCTGAAAAATCTAAAATTATTTTTACTTAAAACTCCGTGCAAATAAGTACCTATATTTGTATATTTAAAGAAACATATACTGATATACTATACCTATATATAAATATAATGTTTTAACATATTAAATATTATTATAAAAAGTGTAAATATACTCGTCATGCTCAAAGACAAGTTTTGTGACATTTTGCCAACATCGTTTCATCTAACCATATAAGTATTTTTTAACACTAGAAATCAAATTATTTTTAATCTATAAGTTACCTAATAATAAATCGGTATGAATACGTACTGTGACGGTACCAGATAATGGGTTATGACACGGACCGAAATACGAAATTGAATTACAGAATATTTTGTTTATGTTTTTCATTGGAAGCTTACACATTAAACATAAACTATAAACATATTATAATTTACAATTATAGCTTTGATGGTGGGAAGTGACAAATGACAATATTATAGGTAGGTACCTACCTACCCAGTTGCAGTGGCATTCTAAGACTGATAATCAGTCTTGTAAAGTATTTGAGTAAAAGTATTTGAGTAAATGTATTTAAATACTTTTATTGTATTTAGAATACTTTTTAAATACTTTTTGAATAAAGTATTTGGAAAGTATTTTAAATACGGTTTTGGACGTATTTGTATTTGAAAATCAAATACTTTTATTTAAATACTTTACCGATTTTTTTCAATAATAAATGATTATTTATTATCTTTTTTCTCAGAAATCAAAGTAATATCATGACTAAATAATATAGTCATGAGTAATATCATTGAAATTTTGTAAGTTTATTCCCGACATAGCCTCCTAAAATGCAAAATATTATTGTTTTTTTTTTTCATTGAAGCCTATATTAGTTTATTGTGATGTGAATTATTTGAAACTCCAAACTGTAAACATAGAACAATAATGAAGCGAAACTCGATCAGCTGATTCGGTTTACGACTTTACGTTTACCTATGATCTATGAAGTCTGAATCTAAAACGAGCCCATAAACCAACATGATGTTAGATCCACGAACGGCATGCGAAAAGACGAAACTGTCAGAGAAAACGAAAAAATTCGGCAAAAAAGTTCGGCCGGGAGCGTATTTTGCGTAGGTGCTGTGCTGTCCAAAAAAAGAGGCAAAATGAATGATGACAATTTTGAAAAGATTATGATTTTAAAATCCAATAAAGACTTTTGGTATTAATTTTTGTTTTTATTTTTATTTTTTTTCCTGTTGAATAATTGAATAGTATACATACGTAATACATACATTAATACAAATATTTTCACTACAGAAATATAGCATTTATATATAAATTATTTTCTCCAGAAGCTAGGTTTGTTGTGGAGATAAAGGTTCTTATAATATCTATTTAGTTCTCATACAATAAATAATTAAAACGATTATTCGGTGATTATTAACTTATCATACAATTATAGGTACCTTGGTTAGTACCAGAATATGGAACATGCATTATAATACGAACTCGTATATGAACTATTGAACTATTAAGTATTAACTATATAATAATAATTAATATGTACAGTTTGAACGAGTTTGATCTCATGGTCAAATTTAAAGTTAAAATATCAGAGAAAAAGTATTGAACCCAAAGGTAAAACTTAAAACAAATGTATTAAAATAAGTATTTGTATTTGTTCTTAAATACTTATTGAAAAAAGTACTTTAAATACTATTTAAATACTTTTTAAGTTGATGTATTTGTATCTCTATTTAAATACAAATTAAAAGTATCTTTTTACAAGATTGCTGATAATAATAATTTGTTGCTTACCTACCTAGTCTGGTTTGGAATACCTCCCCAGTGAGTCCCCACCATTTTTATGTATTTGTATACTTAAATATTAGTAAATATTTACTCACTGTGGTATTATGATAACATAATATATTTTTTTTACCCTCCCAAATTTACCAATTTTAGACATATTGCTTTTAAACGTATCACTTAGGTATCTATATCGATTTCTTCTCAAACAATATTTGTTATTTTATTGTAATTCAAATAAATATTATTCATATAGAAACATTCTACGAGACTATACTTCTAATAGGTTGCTACTTATTATATTATAATTTTCTGTACACAGTGAAATTTAATAAATATTTAGACTAATTACTTACTAATTATACTTATCTAAATAGATACTATTTATTTTCCACTATTTAATATGTTTATACTTTGATCCTATACTCACACCTATGTCGGTAATCAACTTAAAAGTTAATAACAATAATGTACCTACCTATGGGCTATGATATAATATAAATTATAATATTAAACCTACCTATAATCATTATATTATAATATGATCGATCTATTTTGCAAAACTTAATTTTTACATACCGCGTACCTATTAATAATAGACAACAGTAGCTATAGTACCTAGGTCTGCATAAAAATATTCTTATAATATATTAGGTATATTAAAATTATGCATAATATATTCAAATTCTGTTTTTTGTTTTTTTATAAATACACTTGAAGACTATATTTTCGAATACCTAATTGACATATTTTGTACCACTTAAGGATGATCTTGTGACAGTACAAACTTCTATTTTTCAAAACCCCATTTTTCAATTTTTA